GTAGTTAGGGACGATTTGGACGGGGCTGGACCCGCGGATGAGGACTAGGGTGGGAGAATGGCTAAGGAAAGGACTTGGATCCGGCTTAAGCCATGAATGCGGGATGAGTTGAGACCGCCGCTTGGGTGGATGGTTGATGCATGGACTTGGTTTGTGTGGAGGTTGCGTGGAATGTCTCTCTCATGTGTAATGCGACCTCTGAAAAAACTAAGGGCGGTCTTGGATAGGTGATGCGATGCTGGTGGCTCCCGCAAAAAAAAAAAAATATAGCGGCTAGGGGTCCGGGCGACGCCGCCTTACCCCAAGGATGCTGCCGGGGTTGTCCCGGRCCACTAGACCTAGTGAAAAGGTGCGTGGCCCAATGGATGACGCTTGGCCTGCGCACGATAAGAAGACAAACTCTCAACGAACGCCCTGGACTGCCTGAGTATTGGAAAGAGCAATTGCCTGGTCAGACTTTCATGAATCAAGAAAACGCCGCGAGTGACCAAAAAGCTACCATCTTGACGCGAGAGCGGAGTTACATCCCCCAATGTAAAGCCCTCTCACAAAAGGCCCATCCCCATCCATCTCAGAGGACTAGGTGGGGGTGCCCCTGGGACGAACGACCCGCGCCCTGAGCGTGAGCGTGGGCGGGTCGAGCCAAATGGGACTCGTAGTGGGGTCGACTGAGGCTCGAAAGTCCTACAGGGTACGGCCCCTACAAAAATGGTGGAGATGCCGGGTATGGGTTAAATTGACCCTGACGACCTCGAGGGGGGCGCCCGACGCGCGACCGTGTACATAACTGAAGATAAGGAATATGGACTTGTGTATGCTCTATCCCTTGAGAGAATCAGATTTGAGGGTGGCTGGGCGCATGGCAAGGCCAGACCTGGAGGAAGAACATGCATGCTTGCACTTTTGATCAGCCATCTCCTTTGGAGATGACTCTAGTCCTCCTTCCATTGGATTGATGTTCGTCAGGCCGGGGAAGCCTTGGGCAAGCCGCAGGTCGATCCTTCCTCTTCGTGCGAAAGAAGGGCTCCGGTTACCTGGCAGGCGATTGGGATTCCGGGCTAGTCTGGGTTCCGATGAAAATCCCGCGGCGGAGTGATCCGACCGACGCGTGTGCTCTCTTTCCTTTTCTTCGGAGCCCAGCGGGCTCCATGCACCACACTTAATGCCTGAAGGAACTTCATATGAACACAAAGAGTAATCGATAAGGAACAATCCTGCCCTACGAACGGACACACAAGCGAAGATAAGGGAATAAAGGGAGTTGCTAAACTCCAAGAAAAACTAGCTCACCCTTGAAGATACTCACGAGAAGGAACCAGGCACTATGTATGGATGTTAGGGGAGAGTGGCACGCACTGTCCCGAGAGAAAAATTGTGAGCTATGGGTAGGAAGCGCTGGGTGCACCAGGGGAGAGGCACTTGTGTTATGTGTGTCCCACTTGGGACTTGTGATTGCATGATTGGGATTTCGAACGTCCTGCCATTTGGAAGGAAAGGGAGGGTCTGCACCGGCCACTGCGGATTGCCAAACACGGTTCTCTTTGCAGGCTGTCGTTTGTTCGTATGAGGGGTCAGGCCACCGAGCTGTCTAACAAGAGTTTGTCGCGTCGAGTGCTTATTAGCATTCTCGTCCGCGCGGTGACGGGCTTCGGCTCAATTGATCCGCCGGGCGGGGTGTGAAACGTTCCTTAGGCGGGGCCTAGCCTGTGGATTGGCGGAGGGAGCACCACTGCATGGGGGCAAAGACGGAGCTTGGGAGGCGGTCAGTAACTTCTCGTAGCCTAGTTTGGGAAAGGTTGTTCCTTATCGGACCAATGGAAGTGAATGCCTGGACGGCTGGCTCCAATGGCCCTACCGAGATGTGCGGGGTGATTCCCGAGATTAACGGTGGGTACACGAGCGGCAAGTAGGGATGGGGTATTCTGGGCAAGAAGGTGAGGGCGACCCCCCACTGGAGTCTGGGTACCGCGCTCGCGACAGTTGAGCTGTGCTGGAGGTATGGGTTAAAACCCTGCCGATAGTAACAGTGGAGAGACCATTTCTGGGGAAAAAGGTCGGTGAGGAGATGACCGACTTGTGTGCGATGTTTGCCTGAGCTTTGCTTTTTGTACCTCCCTCTGTAAAGTTGCCTGATGGATGGTGGATGGGGACCAAGCTTCTAAGTTTATTCTCACCTCCAAGTCTAAGTCCGCACGAGTGAGAGAACATGAGGAAGAGGCTGGATAGGAGTCGGAAGAAAAAGGAACCCCGAGAAAGCGATGACGGCTAAGCATGATCGATTGGGGGTATGGTAGGGCAATGGCACCTGGGAAATGGATAAGAAAAGTTAGGGACACCCGGATGAGGGGTCTGAAAACAACTCTCATCTAGAAAAGGAAAAACAAACCATCTGACCATGAGGGGCCGTGTGGTGCTCTCATGTGGAAAATAGGACAAGCGGCGGGAAACAAGATGGCGTGATGGTTGTCGCCTCCTGTCTATTGTAGTGGTCTGGAAATGCCTATAGAGGTAAGGGATGGGGTATCTGTTGTTCTCCCGGACGAAGGGACGTGGACCGACCTAAAACCGGCCTATGAAACTGTGATGCTGGACGAGAAGGACGCGTTCCTCTGGATAGAGATAATCGGGACTAAGGTCAGCCTGACGAGACTTTCACCTAGTTTGATGGACCTAGAATTTCGGGGAAAGGTGGAAGCTCGAGGCTGGGTCTACCTATCACAGGAATTGAAAAATGCAGTGGTAATGGGACTAGTATTGGGCACGGCACCGGATCAGCTGTTTAGGCAAGCGGAACGAGAAGTGGTATGGGCGGCATGTCAGCGGGTAGAAATGCGAATGGAACTCGGGGACCGAAAAAATATGAGACGTCCTCTTAGGATAATGAGGTGCGTGCTGCCCCCGTTTCTGGTGGATGCAGTCTTTGGGACCAGGGATAGACTGGAACGTATATGCCAATCAATGACACGCCTGAGGCTACACCAATGTGCTAGACAAGACTTCTTTAAACTGTCGGTGGAAGCAGGGCCGTTTGAAGGAAACTGGGCGGAAGAATTAGCTGAGGTGTTAAACCTCCTCAGCGCGGACGAAGTCTTTGTTCCTAGTCTGGTGTATTGACAGATAGTTTACCGAAACGTAGCGGTAGGGGAAACCTTCTTGAAAGGGGTGAAAGAGATGTTCTTAGGCGAGGAGGAGGATTTCAGTGATGAGGAGGGCGGGGACGAGATAGAGGACTGGGACTTCTGAAGGGGGGGGGCTTACCTGGGGGAAACGAGTTGTCGACTATGTGCAGGTAGGGAGCGATCGCCCAGGAACTCGAATTATGGGGCTGCACGTGGGAACCAAGACGAGTCGGAAGGGGAGTAGAGATGTCAATACCGCCGAGCAATAAATGGAAGGGGACCACATGTGATTGGCGGGGTTATGAGATTGTGCCGGAGCTATCGTACCTATGGATAAAGCGTGTCCGAAACCCGTTAAGGGAAGAGGAAGGATGGGAAGAGATTGCGGAAGGAAGGGTGGAATCAGTCGGGACGATCGTTCTCTCCGAACAAGGTTGGCACCGGTTCTGCACAACGCTCGCGGCAGGACAGAACCCAATGTGACTTTTAGGGGACGCTAAGGCAAGGGCTCGGCAGGCGGGGGAAAAGTTTGCTAACAAAGGTTGGGATACGGTCAGTAGTAGAGTCATGATGGGAGGATGGAAATAATTTAAACCGCCTGGCGCCCGAATCAAGACTTGGGTGCCCGAATTCGTGGCAGACTGGTTTGAAGGTTTTGATCACGTAACAGAGGTAGCCGACGCAATGGAGCGAATACACGTAAACTGCGCATGGCTGGCGGGGGAATTCTATAGGACGTCCTTGAAATATGGGCCCTTCCATGGCGATAGAGCCCGAGAGGTCCTTATCATTTTGGACATCGAAAGGAATGACCGGCAGGAGGTGGCCCCGGAAACTGGGGAGGCCATAATCCGCCGTGAGGTAGCAACAACGCCTTGCTATGTAGATGATGTGTTCAAACTGTTCGAGGTACTATGGTTCGACTAAAAGCAGGAAAGCCATGGGGCCGGGCAAATATGGGAAAAGTTGCTAAGATAAGGGAATGGGATGTCTGACCATTGTAGGGTTCAGTGCGGATCACGAGCCAGGAGATCAAAGGCGAGTGTGCGATGGCGCGAAGAAGGACGTTCCTTGAGGAACGTTCCTTGGGCATTGAACCGCTAGGGAAGTACCGGGTGGGGTAGAGGTTAGCTTGCCGGCGGCAAGTGAAGGCTGGCACCAGGTGGCAGATTGGGTCGGGGTCGAGCTTGTGGAAAATATGGTTTACTTGGTGACGAAAGTAGAATGGCATGCGGATGAGAATGGGGAATGGAACCCGGACTCGCGGGGGCATGTGCGTGCAAAAGGACGGCTGTATGTGTCAGAGGATGGGTGGAGGGAGTTCGGAGTTCGGCTGGCATCAGGAGAACACCCGTTGAGCATGTTTGAAGGGGCATGGCAGTTAGTATGGCGAGTGGGGTTTGAGTTCGCAGATCCGGGGGTTGACGATGTAACAGCGGACCTTAGGGTAGCCATGGTCGGGAGTTTTGAATTGCCTAGTGAAAATGTACGAATGAGGCTGCCGCCCTTCCTGATGGAAAGGCTGGGCGGCCTGGGACTTGTTAGACGAGCGGTAGCCAACCTCGCAAGCCTGACATATGAAGATGAGATGGTACATCGAGAATACTATCGGGCCTTCCTAGAAATGGGCCCGTTCAGTGGAGAGCAGAAGTACGAGGTGTTGCGCATCCTGCATGCTGTGTTTAGCACCAGGCCGAGGGCTTCGGTCGTAGGAGATGAGGTCCTGTGGGGTGTCATCCGACGGGAAATAAGTCAAGGGATGGTGTACGTGGATGATCTGTACTGATTGTATGAGCCGATGGACGTAGGGACGGACCAATAAAAGAGGTCAAGGAAAGAAAAGGAAGGTTCAAGCTAGAAACCGGGGAATGTCCGGAGGGGGGTTGAAGATTAAATGAAATAAGTAAAACCGCTTGCTGTTCAAACTATGCAGGGGACTACTAAGTCAAAAATGGCGATGAGACGCGCTCGGATGTTGCGACGGTCCACACACCCACGGCCACCCACGGAAAGTGGAGGCAGATGGGAGGTATCGCTCCCAGCAAGCTACATGATCCAAGGATTGGACATCGAATGGAGGGCCGTGACCCTTGGAAGAGGTCAGGCGTTCATGATGGTGGAATGTTTGTGGGATGGTATGAGAATTAACAGGGGGCTGGGGGACGATCTGTATACCGATCTTAGGGTAACGGGGACCATATACCTGCCGGAACTTGGATGGTACATGCTAGGAACGGAATTGGCATTAGGTCACAGGTTGCTACCAATCTTCCAGAGGGCTACTAGGATGTTGAACAGGGTGGGCCAGGAAGTGCGGGGGAGAAGGAACGTGGGATTAAGAACTCGGGTGGAGGTCAGAGGCCGGCGAGAGTTTAAGGCCCCAATGACCGGGTTGAGGTGTCGAGTACCTCGTTTCATGGTGGACTTGGTATTCGGTAGCCTCAAGAGAGCTAGGGACCTAGTGGATTCGACCCTGGTCTGGATCCACCTCTTCCGGCCACAAACAATGAGCATGTTCTACGATGTGTCGGTCAGACATGGGTTGTTCTGGGGGAATCAGGCCTGGGAACTACTCGAATTACTCGAGATCTTCATATTCGGATTGCCCCACCAGTCGTTTGAAGAATATGAGCCAATAATTATCAGGGAAATAGAGATAGGGGAAAATTACCTTGCTGGGTTGGCTGACCTGTTCGAGGAACCGGATGAGCAGGGCAGGCCTGAGGGACCAGCATGAGAAAACGTGTCGGGAAGAGGTAGGGAAATAAAGGATGGGTACTAAGATAAGCAGGCAGCTATCAGCAAAAGAGGGACAGTGGTTGGAGTTCCGGCCGACTCAATGATGCGGCAGAGAGGAACTAGGAAGACCACCCGCTCCAAAAATTTTAGGGCACCAGGATGCCAATAAGCCGAAAGGGCCATCTCCGATAGGGAAACCACTGGGCTCAGGCACCGCCCTAAGAATCAAAGCGCGACAGTGATGAAATTCCAAGCGGCGGCGGCAAGGCCCCGGTAGAAGAAAACCTGAAGGACGCCCGGGAAAAAAAAAAAGTCAGACGAGTCGTACTGATTAATGTATAAGACATAAAATATGGGAATAGGCGGACTTTAGGGCCGGGACTAGAGCAGTTATGAACAACCGACCATGCCCGCAAAAAAAAAAAAAAATTACATGTGCAGGCTAAGTAAAGGAATAGCGATGCAGGAAGAAATTGAGGATAAGCAGAGCAAAGGAAATCAGGGCACGAATGGGGATGGGGAACGAAACGAGGGATCGGCCAGGGATCGAGAGTCGGCCAGACTGGAAGGAACCCGAGAAGACGGAAAGGGCGCCTCAATTGGAGAAAGTTCGGGGAAAGCTGGGGGTAGCAAAAGAGGACCTCAGGAAGACAAGGAAGGGGGAAATGATATGAGAACAAGCCCTCGGAACTCAGCAGGAGTCACCCCTAAAAAGACAAAAGTCTAGAATGCCAGTCGTAAATTGGCAGAGATAGAAAAGCAGACTGCGGAATTTAAGGCAAGGCTTATCGAGCAGATGATGGCCGAGGATGAAGAGGACCCCCAGGGCGCAGGGTCACGTGAGGGACGCAGGACCGGTCAGGACGAGACAAGGTATGAGGAGAAGGATAATAGCCCCAAAGGAATGCTTAGCAAGAAGGGGAAGGACAAGAGCGACCCCCCGGCGGAGGGGACGGAAAACGCTATGACCCCGCCTGCCATCGACAGCGGCACTAGCCGATTGCCCGCCACGCCGAAAGTAACAGGGGCGTGTGACGGACTCTGGAACCTTAGGGAAAGAGTGCTAGGATGGTTCGACCCAGAAGGAACGCCGAAAACCAGGGAGAAGCAGAGGGAAAGCAAGGAAGGGGAAGGGACCAGTGCAGCCGGAGCAGCGGGTGGCTCCGAAGATGGTCTCAAAAGGATAGTCGCCACCCTCACCAGAACACTAAACAAGAACCAGGGGTATCTCGCAAATGCAAAGAAGAAACTCACGTTCGACGGGGCCAACATTACGGAGTTTCTAATAGACTATGAAAACCTAGCAGCCTTACTGAAATGGACGGAAGAGGAAAAGATGGAGCACCTAGGGCAGCACGTGTCGCTAAGCTTGGGAAGGGACATTATGGTCATCGTCGCCTCCAGTGGATCCTGGAAAGAAACCAGGAATGAGATGATGAGGAAATACCTGAAGGCAGAGAAAATGGCAACAGAGGCCGAATTAGCCGCAGTCCAGAGGAAAAACTATGCAACTTACAACGATTTCCTAAGGACATTTACGTTAGTGGCGCTGCGAATTCCCGGGGTAACGGACCACATAATGAGTAAATACTTCCTCAGGCAGTTTTCGAGTTTGATAAAGATAAGATTTTGTCAGCATACCAGCAGACCAGTAAGTTCGAATACACGAGAGATGTGGACTTCAGCACCGTAACAGACCTTGCAGAAAAGACAGTGGTGACTGAGACGCTAGCCCTGCTTAAGGAAGGGGAAGTCATAAATCTGACCGGGAAGACGGGGGATAAGGTCAAGAAGGGGATAGAGAGCCTGCACGAACGGGTGCACGGGGTTGACAACAAGATGGACAGAATGGAAAATGCGCTGTTAGTAATGCAAGCGCAAGTGTCCAGACCCGCTCTCCCGCCCCAAGAGGCCGTGGTTCTGGCAGCTGTAGCAAACCGGGGATTTGGCAGGAGGGACCCGACCAACGAACAATGCAAGTATTGCACCATGATCGGGCATTTCATACGGGCCTGTCCGAGACTCAATCACGATATCGAGCGGCAGAGGTGCAGTAGGTCCCTCAAAGGCGAGATCCTCGGACCCAGGGGGGGAGCGTGTCAATTGGAACTCGCCAGGAGGGATGCGGCGAGCCGTCATCCTCCTGAATAACTTAGAGAAAGTTGTCGTAGAAGCAAAGCCGATTGTCGAGATTGTTTGGGACCAGCCAAGGGGATGCGGACCACAGGCCAATTTTATCCTAGAAGGCAATGACCCGGATAGGGTAAATATTACCACTCGCCGGGCCGGCGCAAAAAAAAAGCTTATTCAAGATACAGTAATGAAAGAACTCGCAGGGACTAGCACGGGCCAGCAAGAGACCGAAGCCGGGAAACAAGAGAAGGTCTATGGGAAACCAAGGGAGGACGAACTGGTAGACAAGGCTACGGCGACAAAAAATAAGTTCAGGTATCAAATTCCGATCCTGACTTCGTCAGAAATCGATGGCACCTTGAGTAAGTTACTGGGTACCATGGTATCGGTGTCCTTTCAGACCATGCTGCAAGCCAGCCCGAGGCTGCTTAAAGGACTCAGGCAGTTGCTAATGCGTAAGCGCGTAGAGGTAAAGGAGGCCCCGAAACTGCAAGAGCGGGACACAGAAGAGGCCGAGGCACCGCAAGGAGTCTCCAACCTCCAAAGCATTCCAGGGGGCCTGGGAGATTTGGAGAAAGCCTTTGCGGACATCCGCCTAAGCCTACCGGATCGTGAAGGTGGCGAAGTCATGAGGGCGCCACCCGGGACAAAGCTTAGCTTTCATGCATTGCCAGTTGGGAAACTTAAAATTCAAATCAGAACTCACCACACTGACGCGTAAGTGGACGGCGGAGCAGAAATCACCCTCATACAACGAGATTTCGAAATGGTCACGGGGTGCACGGTAAACAAGGAAGTAGCAGAGAGTATCCGGGGAGCCGATGGCGAAATTCCTTTCACAGGGTATGTCACCAAATGTGCAGTCAGGGCGGAAATCCGGGAATCCATCTGGTCCTTTCTGCGAATGACCGTGATGGAAGAAATGGATCACGACGTAATCCTCGGGAGACCATGGTGCGCCAATGTGGAAATGATAGGAATACATCTGCATGACGACACATACATGGTAGACATAGAGGACCCAGTGACCGGCCATGGAGAACTCCTCCGACTTCTGGGGACCGGACGGGACCCTCCGAAGGGCAAATTGGCAACCTGGTCTCCAACATTCGAAGAAAGTGCGCGGAAGGGGGCATTCGCACGAATGGAAGGCATGAGGGAAAGAGTAGAAATTATGATCGAGGAGGCTTTTAGTAAAAAAGGAATGGATCAAGATGGGTCTGCCCGTAAAGAAGAGAAGGCCTGAGGATGAGTCCTTGGGGGTTATGGTGGCGGAAAAGGAGTAGGAAGTTGAACTTGGGGTCAGCCTGCCCAAGCCAAAGGAAGGCCGTAACGAGATTCCCGAGCTAGCGCTCGAAATCCCAGACCTGTTGCAACTTGTTAAGGCCATCAGGTATCACAAAGTGGGGGTGGACCCCACAACGCTTGCTAGATTTGAGGATGGGGTCCGAAAGGGCTTCTGTCTGAATGGGAAGCTAGTCAGCATCCAGCCCTGCGTCTTGGAGGTAGCAAGGCCGATCCCGACTGTTCATTTTTTAGGAGAACGATCCCAGAGGGCAGTGTGCGAAAATACAAACCCGTAGGGAAGAAGGCCAAGCCGGTCTCGATCCTAGTAGAAACATCAAGGGAAGAGGCCATGGAAAAGGAAGAGAAGATCCTACGGGTTATAAGGGAGAGACGCGCAACGGAAGGTCATCGCATACCAAATGACGTAGCAGATACTATGGAAATAGGAGTGGAAGGGTTCCTAACACCGGAAGAAACTCAGTTGATAAGAAAGGCATGTCAGAAGTTTCATTTACCTTTCGCTTTCAACGACCATCAGAAAGGGCGATTGGACGCAAAGCTAGTTCCCCCTGTCAGGATCCACACCGTACAGCACGAGTGTTGGAATGATAAAGGGTCCGCCTATGAGTTTGGGATAACAGTGGAGGTCACTGACCTGCTTAGAGCTAAGATAGATTCTTTCATGGCTGAACCCACAGCATCCCCCTACGCGAACAAGTGGTTCGTGTTCAGGAAGCCCAATAAGACGCTCAGGTGGATCCAGGACATGCAGAAGCTCAATGCGGTAACAATTAGGGACACAGGCTCGCTGCCACAGGCCGACTTGTTGGCAGAATCTCATGCGGGGCGGAGTATTTACTCCGTGGTAGATTTGTACTCAGGATATGATCCGTTGCCGCTGGATGCGAGGGATAGACCGTACACCGCAATGCACACCCCCGTAGGGCAGCTGCAGATGCACGTGACCCCTATGGGTTTTACAAATGCGGTAGCAGAGGCGCAAAAAAGGATGTTCGTCGTTGCAGGGGATATGTTTCCGGAAAGGTGTGAACCGTATATAGATGATAACCCCGTAAAAGGCACAAGGTACAAGGACGAGACGAAGGTCGAGCCGGGCGTACGAAAGTTTGTCTGGGACCACCTGCAGGATATTAAGGACCTACTCCATCGATTCCTCGTTTACAATATTACTGCAAGCGGACCCAAGAGCATCCTGGCCATTCCGGAAGTAACCATACTGGGATTTCGTTGCGGAGCTTATGGGAAGAGACCCGACCAAGCAAAGACGGATAAGATCTCCCAGTGGCCGACACCCCTACGCACCACGACGGAAGTACGAGCCTTCCTAGGGGTGGTCGGGTTCTGGAGGATCTTCATCAAAGGATTCGCAAAGATAGCAAAACCTATCCGCGCAGTGATTAGGGAAGGCGACACGATGGATTGGACCGAGGATAGGGAAGCGGCAACCCAGACCGTGAAAGACATCCTGTCATCCGATCAGGTTACACTAGCAGCACCCTGTTTCAATGACAAGGTAGAACGGCCTTTCATCTTAGAAACAGATGGGGGACCGCTGGTAGTTGGATGAGTGTTGATACAGAGAAGCGAGGAGGGCAAAGAAAGACCAATCAGATTTGAAAGTAGGACCCTGAATTCAACAGATCGATGGTATTCGCAATCTTACATTGTCTCAAGACCTTCCAGGCATACCTGTTCGGGAGGCGATTTATCCTAAGGATCGATCTCACCAACGTGGCCGGAACCCTAAAGAACTACAAGCCTATAGATCTGACCGTTGGCAGATGGATAGGCTTCATATGGCAATTCGACTATAAGGTCGAGCGAATTGCAGGGCTTCGAAATAGGGCAGCTGGGCTGAGCAGGGTATGCATCACGCCAGAAGGAGTAGAGGACGCGGAACCAATTGACGTCTTCCTGGAGTACGAAGGAGGGACCCTTGTTGTGGATAATGAGATGGCAGATCCAGCAATTACAACAGGTCAGTTGCTGATTCAGACCTTGGAAAAGGGGGCACCTGCAGTGGTTGCAGAACTCAGGGAAGGACCAGTCACCACGGTCAGGCGCAAAGAGGAAAAGAACTCGTGGGGAGCGGAAGTAGGGGCCAGAGAGGAACTGATGGCAATGACCATGGAAGGGGGACGGGACGCCGTGATGACGTTGGCCAAAGCCTGGACACAGAAGGAGTGTCAGTACTTAGTCAACCTCACTCAGGAGAAGCAGGGTACGAATCAGAAGGAACAGGAGTTTTTCCTCATACATATGTACGAGGGCGTCTTCAAAGAAATCGGTATGCTGCTTGTAGGGAACAAACAACCCACGGAAGTCAGTCCCAAGGCAAGGGAGGAAGTAGAAAAGTATGTCCTAAGAAATAACCACCTGTTCAAGAAAGAGGAAGGGATGATGCATAGACGCGTCGTTTGTGGGAGGTCTAGGCAGCTGGACGTAATTCAGGCAATGCATGATGGGCTAGCTGGAGGTCACCGGTCGTCTAAAGGAACACTTGCAAAAATCGTGCCCCTGTACTCTTGGCCAGGGATGGCAGGCATGGTCGCAACGTATTGTCAAATAATGTCTAATATGTCAAGAAAGGAGCGCCGTACGAGTTTACGAGCCCCTTAGACCCACCCGGACTGGGACCCGGACACCTTGTTCACCTCGACCTTGCCGTTATGCCCGTATCAACGGATGGGTTTAGATACATCTTGGATGCAAGGGATAATCTCAGTGGCTATGTAGAAGCCGTAGCCCTCAAGAAGAAGACGGGGAAAGCAGTGGCCGACTGGGTGGAAGATTTCTATCTAAGGCACCCCTTTGTGCGCAGGTTTATAGCAGACAATGGGATATAATTCGTTAACCAAGAAGTGTTGAACAGGCTTAAGACACTGTGTGTACCAATCAAGATCACCGAGCCCTATCATCCTGAGGCAAATGCACCAGTAGAAAGGGGTCACCGGACTTTGAAGAACACAATCGCAAAGTTGGCAGCAGATAATTTGGGAAGTTGGCTACGGTTTCTCAAGCAGGCAGTCTTCGCCGAGAACATGACTCCAAAAAGAACAACGGGATGTATTCCAGCAGAACTCTGGTATGGAAGGGAGATTGATTTTCCGATAGAAGCTTTGGTCCCTACCTGGAACAGATTAGATGACGACCCACACTTGAGCACGAAAGAGTTAATCACTGCACGTTGTTAGCAGGTCGCCAGAAATGAGGAGGTACTCGAGGAAGTAGTCAATCGTGTGACAGACAGCCGAATGAGGGATAAAGCAAGATGGGACCAGGTCAAAAACATTTGGAAGGAGTCACTCCAAGTGGGGGAAAATGTGCTAGTTAGGAACTCGGCTTTTGAAAGCACATGGTCCGGGCAGCTGGGAAAAAGATTCAAAGGGCCTTATAGGATCGCTAAGCTGGTGGGACAAAACACATTTGAACTTGAGGATCTCGAGGGTACTAGCATAAGAGGGCCATTTCCGGGACAGAGACTGGTCAGATTTTTTAGCAGGGATCCGGTGGAATAATGGCTACAAGAGGCCCAGGACAGGGAAACTGGGGAACTGACAACCTGAAAGGCAGGCAGTTGGCTATAAGTTCTGGACCGCCTCCCTGTGGAAGTGATCATGACCACAGGGATTGTTCATTTGTGTGTCTTGACTTTTGTGGAATGTGGGGAGACTGCCTGGGCTGACTGTGACTGGGCTTGGGAGCACGGGACAGTGTGTTATAGTTTTTGTGGGGTAACGTTGGGGACTGTCTACACGAGGTACTTATGTGCTGGGATAATGTACCATAGTTTTTTTGGGGGGGGGTGTGATGCTGTGGACCGCCTACATGGGACACCTATGTGTTGGGACAATGTGTCGAGGGTTCTAAGGGATAATGGGGCTACCAACTATATGGGGGCAAGCAAGAATTCTATGGAAGCCCCCAGAGCCGCAAATGGGAGTGGAAGGGAATGCGTGTGTATGAGGGGTACCGTGACTGTTATGTATGAATAGGGTCAGGCAAGAAGAAGAAAGACAACAAGAAAACAATGGAGTTTGGGAATGAAAATGACAGCAATGCAATTAACAGGACGGAAGAGGGACAGTCGTCAAGGCAAGCTGGAGAGTCAAGCTCCAGGAAAAGGAAGTTGTATGTGGGGTTCGATCACAACCTAGTTGTGAACAGGGGGGGCAGAAAGCAAGGAATCAGGGGGCCATTGCCACTAAGGGAAGGGGAGCCAATAGTCCTCCCATCGGGAAGTGACACCAGCAGTGAGGAAGCGAGGAACCCGGGGAAAAGGCCAAGGTTGGAGGAGGACGTGCCCATGGAGTTTATTGACCTCACCAGCGACGAGGAGGAAGATGAGGTAACAACGCCCACAAGGGAAGAACGGGGAAGAGAGGAGCATCCGGGTGAGAAAAAGGACAAATGGATAGAAGAATTCGGACCCGAGTTCAGCGATTGGTTTGATCAATGGGGCACTATCTTGCGATATCAATGGATTATGAAGGCAAGGGAAAAGCTGGGTAGGGGAGAGGATCTATCCCCAACAACCTTCTTCACCGAACGGACACTCCTCCAGTTCCAAGGAATAAAAAGGCAAATGGAGCAGGAAATGGAAGATCGCGCAAGGAGGGAGGCTCAACGCAGGTCACCTAGGCGATAGAGGCACAACAGCCGTAATAAGGAATAGTTAGGAGTTGGGAGGGTTTGGTTCCTGGGCAGTCAGAGCTGCCATTTTTGGACTTCGCATTTGAACTCTTTTTGTGAATGCATCTTCTAAGCTCGAATTGACTAAGGACTGGGTAGTCAGCGCTACTTCGTACGAATGGTTGCTTCTTCAGGCGAAGGCATGAGGGTTTTGCACTTAGAATAGAATTCTGGATGGCTGGGTAGATTAAGGGAAAGAAAAACGGGGATCTAGACGAAGACGAGTCTGTAATGTTGTCTTTGCATTCGAACTTTGTCTCCTTATTTTTCCTTGTAAAGACTTTAATGAAACTACTTTTTGGATTGAGGGAGCTAGTAGAGGGTGGGTGATCATAACTACTTTGTATAAGTACTCGCTCCGTTTGGGAAATATGAGCCTTTGGGTAGTAAGAAAGTGATTGGGGTTTGGTTGACTTTATGGGCAGCGGCATGTGAACTCTTGAACGTTGGAAGGAACATTCATGACGAAAGTTTTTCCTTTGAACTATGTATCCATGATTGAATGAGTCGCTCCACGAGTCCTTGTGAGAGGTTAGGGGACCTATGGGTAGAGAGGCACCCTCTCCCCTAGGAGCTTAATCCAACCTACCCCAGGCAATTCCAGAGCATTGAGAAGCATATAAGAAGTCAGAAAAGTGGCAGGGAAACATTGAAATGATACAACACCCCTTGCAATGGTTGAACGGTCGGGCGGGCTAGTGCTGCTTGGGGCCGCGAGCCTCAACTTGAGTACTAGACGCTAAGTCGGATGTATGGATGAATGTAAGAATGACAAAAGACATGAGTAAAAGGAAGAAGCATGCGTAAAAACCCAAGACGATGGCCGCCCTCTAACCCCCGAGACGAGATAGGATCTGTGTCCTCGAGGCCCACCCCCTCGAGCGCTAACATTGCAATGGACAAGGATGACCCTAACCAGGCTGTTCAATTGAAATGGACATGGATGACCCTAATCAGGCTGCCCAATGAAAATGGATAAGGATGGTCCTAACCAAGTTGTTCGATTGCAATGGATAAGAATGACCCTAACTAGGCTGGTCGGCTTGGAAATGGAAAGAACGACCCTAATCAGGTTGTTCGGAATGGCCCCTGACAAGGGTCATTCTTTGGAATTGGCACTGGGGTCCCCTTGCATGGCTACTGGAGATGCATGACATTGGAAGAGTTGAGCTTTGAAAATGACATTGGAAGAGATATTGGACTCAACCTTGGAAGAGGTATTGCATTGAGCATTGGACTTGGAATGGGTACCGGACAGAGAATGAGCACCGGACTGAGATTGAGCATCAGAATGGGACTGAGCATTGAAATTGGATTGAGTATTGGAAATTGCATTACATAAACAGGGGACCCTAGGCAACTGGAAATGGACTTGGAAAGAGCCTTGAAATAAAATTTCTCTTTTCTTCTAGTTTTTGGCCTCAGCAAGAGGGGGATACCGGTGCATGCACCGCGACCCCAAGACCTCTATCCCTTTGGGGGAAAAAGTCTCAACACGACCTGTTCCTCTTCAAGAGGATGAAGGTCAAAGGACTAAGGCATCTACCACTTGGATCGGTGCGGGACGTCCGGAACCACCTCCGACAATGAGCTCTAGTCCAGAAGTTCCAACTGCGTCCCCTGTTGAACGCCTAAACGTCAAAGGGCGAGAGAGTCAATGGGCAGGAAAGTCATTCTCATCTAGTCTATTCTACTACTCCCCAACCACACGCCAGGTCATAGAGGGGTGGCATGGCCATTTGGGTCGGACCACGGCTGCCCGCGCTAAGTTGAGCGGCACTGTCCATGGGGAGATGCCGGGCGAGGTACCGGGTGGAATCCGCCACCACCACGAGGCATTGACACTGCCCTGCCAGAACATTACAACCGTTTCGGGACTAATTGCGAGGTCTTCGTAACTGCACTCGCGAACTGGCCGAGAGCCCCAACTCTCTTGAAAGAAAGAGGCCGGAATCCCGAAAATCACCACTCGGGAGGAACGATTCGTGAGGAACACTCTTACGACTAGGCAAGGCCCTGACAGGCTTGGATTGGACCTGCCTGACAGACGCGGGGAGGAACCTCAGTACTGGTGCTCGCCACGTGAGAGAATAAAGGTCGAACCGAGTAGAAGGATGAGGCGTCGTTCGCTGGGGAGGAACTGATCACTCCTCCTTTTGTGAAGCGGATGGGCTTGAGTCCTTGACTTGCGGTTGGCGGGCCAAAGGTCTGCGTACCTCCGAGTGATAACCAGTCGCGCGATGGGGATATCGCGTTTTGAGTGGGGGGAAGGTGTGCGATCTACCAATGAATACACATGAAAATAAGACTTGTAATTGGTTTTGCATGGGCTTCGAAAAAAGGGGTCTGTCAAGATGGCCGAAACATAAAAAAATTGTGATTGGCTTTGTATGGGCCTGAGAAAAGGGGGTCTGGCAAGATGCCAGAGCAGAAAGGACTTGAGCAAGTGACATGGTATAAACTTGAGAAAAATGGCTTGGCAAGATAGCCAGGAAGGAAAGGGTTGGTGTGATTGACTCTGCATAGACCTAGGAAAGGAATTGGCAGACCGAGAGTTGGCTGTGTAATTGGCTCGTATAAGCTTGAAAAGATGAGAAGTGGTTGAGGAGCGAGCCAAGCATTGCACATGGAGAGTCAATTAAGTAAAGGGCAAGAAAAGGCAGAGGATGATATGCATGCGGAATTGGCAGGACCTGAGAAAGGCCGGGAGGAATGACCCGGGAAGAATGCATGTGGATTTGGTTGTCTGAGCTTCGGAGAGAGGAAAAATTGTACTGAAAATGTGTGGATGTCCTAAGAGAAATGAATGAGATAAAGCCAAAATGATTTTTGCTCGAGAATGTTTTCTCAATGAAATGGGAAGATAGATTTGAGATTACGAATGCAGCCTTCAAGACATTGTCGAGAGCGAGAAATAACGTACAATGAAAAACTAGCTGCAGGGCATGTCTGTGGTCAGATCCCTCCAAGGGGCGATGCTAGTCAACTTGATAAGGGAAAGAGACATCAAGCTGCTTAAGCTCCTTGACGTGTTGCTAGCTCGCACCTGGAGGAAGCCATGGCGAATGATCCTTGTGACATTCGTCGCCAAAATCTTCCTCTTACTGCGGTCCCTGGGGAGGGTGATAGGCTCGTTGTCCTCTCTTTTGTGGGACGATACCGGAGGTTGTTGGGAAGCTCTTGGGTATTTGGGAGTTCCAGTGAGAAAGAGATACAGCTGTGAGACGGACGTTGATGCACAAAGAGTGTCACGCGCTCGTTACAAAGACATTATTGAGCTTGGGGACGTTACGCAATTCAAAGGAAACCTGAAACAAAACCTTGACCCCTCCATACCCTCCCCCGCCCCAAGGGCGGAAACTTAAAGAAGGACCCGAGAAAAGATTGGGAAAGACAAAAAGAACCCTGGCAAGCTAACTACCCATCCCACCCCACTTCTCTTCCCTGTCTGTCTATCACTCCAAAGTTCCTACTGACCATGGATTGGTGCGCGATGAGGACATCGCGAATGAGTGGGGGGAATATGCGTGGTGAGTCCCGAATGATTTTCTGTCACTCGAGAGACTGTATATGACCAATTTGTGCACGACAGAGAGAACCGGAGGCAGGAATGCTGGAAAGAGAGGAAGCATGGGCACGGACAGTAGAAAGCAAGAGGCTGCCCAGAGTCGTTGGGGCCGCCAAACTAGAAATGGGTTGTTTAAGCAGAAAGCGGCAAAAGAACTGTGAGAGAATAGCAGGGGCGACTCCTTCCCCAAGGACGGAGAAGGGCCGCCGGGAATTTGGTAGTAGCATAGGAGGCGCGCAGCAAGGAAAGGAAGTAGGAAGGGACAGGGTGCAAGGTGCTGACGTGAGACCGCGGCAAGAGGGCCAAGGAGGTCGCAGGTTAGGTAGGAGCCGGCAACCGGAACAGAACAGTGTGCGGGACGCAAGAGGAACGGGGAGCAGAGATCGCCGTAAGGCGGAAGGATGTCAGGAGCACCAAGGGAAGACGTGGTACCGGTAGAGCAAAGCGCCGGGGATCATAGGGAACCAATAAAAGATATGGTGCCGAGGGGACAAAGTGTCGGGAATCACCTGGAACCAGGCAAAAACACGGTATTACTGCGGGACTAGTGTCAGGGACCGTGCAGGCCTAGATAAAAATGGTGGCGCCAGCGGAACCACTAGCAGGACGGGTATCTACGGGATAAAGTGTCAGGAGCCACCGACGGGGGCTGATGGTCAGAGCTGTCAGTGGAATATTTGGCGACCAGCCCAAGGGGGGGGCGCGCGAGAGCGGGTCGTCACCCGGGATGATGCCGGAAAAAGGGGAGGGGCTAGGAACAATAAGAAAAAGAGGAGAAGTCGGGCACCGACGAAAATTGTCAATGGAACGGAGGAGACGAGCGTGAGACGGGAAAGGCGGAGGGCACCTGGGGTGGCCCAAGGGGACCCTGGATCAGGTGCAACAACGATAAAAATAAAATAACATAATATCAGGTAGACGGGACCGCCCGGGCCAGGGGTCCGGATGAAAATGATAAGTACCGCCGGGGCAAGCGTCGGCAGGAGGTGCCGAGGGGAAAAAGAGGAGGGAATAGTGGTAATGAGGGGGCGGGCCAGCAGTCCGGGTTTTTCCGGATCAACCAGGCCAAGAAAAACAAAGTTCCGAGGGCTCCACGAAAAGAAAAGGCTGGCCGGAGAAAATCGGAGCAAGGGGGTCTCAAACTGGAAGCGGCGGCAGCAAAAAGGAGCCTCCTTGGACCTTGGGGGTGCCACTACTGCAGTCCGAGGTGTAACGGCCATAGGCCGACTGCAAAATCAGGCCTTGAGAAAGGTCCAACACCTAGAAAGAGGAGAAATAGTTGTTGGACACTTGTCCCAACATTAAATAAAAGAGAAAGGAGGAAAAAGGGGGAGAAAAAGGGGGAGAATGAGACAAAGGAGGAGGAATGAGTAGAGGGAAAAGTGCCGCCAGGTTGGGACTACAGCGGTAGGGAC